ATTTATGTACCTTTGTTACATCGCCTTTGTTTAACATTTATTTCCATTTATACACCTCAGTCATATCGCCCTTCACTCTACGTCTCTCGAGGGAGTGCAAATTCAGATGTTTTAATCTGTCTCTGTACTCAAGGTTTCTAATGCCGGGGATTAGTCTTGTCATCCTTCTCTGTATGCCTTCTAGGGATTCTATATCCACTCTGTAGTACAGTGACCAAAACTGAACTGCATAATCCAAGTGAGGTCTCACAAGTGCAAGATATAGTTTTAGTATAACCTCGCTAGTCTTGTAACTAACACTCCTTTGTATGAACCAAAGTACTTTGTTAGCTTTGTTTAGATCAAATAATCATTGTTGTCTTGGTTTAAGATTCCTACTTATCATTACCCCTAAATCTTTCTCACAGTTGGATATCTCTATATCAACGTTGCTCATCTGATATCTGGTTTTTATGTTTACATCTCCTTGACTAAGCAGTACTTACATTTGTCCACATTAAATTTCATCTGAAAATTTTCAGACCATGCGAAAAATTTGTTTAGATCTTCCTGTAGTTTTGCATAATCCTCGCCAGAATTTATTACGCGCCCTGTTTTAGCCACAAGTCCTAAACAACTACAGGGCCTAAAGAACCACAAGTCCAAAACAACTACAGGGCCTAAACAACCACAAGTCCAAAGTAACCACAACAAAAAACCACAAGGCCAACACAACCATAACAAACAACTACAGGGCCTAAACAACCAGAACAAACAACCAGAACAAACAACCACAACAAACAACCACAAGGCCTTAACGACCACAACAATCAACTACAGGGCCTTAACAACCACAAGGCCAACACAACCATAACAAACAACTACAGGGCCTAAACAACCAGAACAAACAACCAGAACAAACAACCACAACAAACAACCACAAGGCCTTAACGACCACAACAATCAACTACAGGGCCTTAACAACCAAAAGGCCTAAACAACCAGAAAAAGCAACCACAAGGCCTAAACAGCCACAACAATCAACTACAGGGCCTAAGCAACCACAACAATCAACCACAAGGCCTAAACAACCAGAAAAAACAACCACAAGGCCTAAACAACCACAAGGCCTAAACAACCAGAAAAAACAACCACAAGGCCTAAACAGCCACAACAAACACCCACAAGGCCTAAACAACCAGAAAAAACAACCACAAGGCCTAAACAGCCACAACAAACACCCACAAGGCCTAAACAACCACAACAAACAACCGCAAGTCCTAAGCAACCACAACAAAAGCCACAGTTCTTCATTAAGGCAGCAAGAATCGTCAAGACTGTCCTCTATAGCCAGAAGAGTTCTGTAATAATGGTGGAGAGAGTCTTCCTGTGTGTATGTGTGTACGTGTGTGTGTGTGTTGGGGGGGGGGGTCTTTACTCCACAGGGTGGTGGAAAGCATCTCGTGTGGCAGCATTATGATAGTGTTAAGGTGCATTCACTGCTTACTTTCTCTCGCTTTCAGTTACTTCATGGTGAACGGGAAAGCAGCCTTGCACAAGTCTTCCCTGGCCAGTACACAGCTTCTTCACCATCAAGCCTCCTGTTGTGCCTCCTCGTGGCAACACACGGTAACTGGGTCCCTTGCAGCCCCGGGCTAGACTTGCAGGGGATCTCGGAGCAGCAGTGAGCTCCAGAGATACTGTCCAGGGCATAGGTCCACCGTCATGTGGACACTCCCTGGCGCCTACCAACCACTGCCCCACTGTCTTGTGGGTTTACATTGATAGGTATAAGGCTATGGGAGTAAACCCCGAAAGAAAAGTTTGCAGTGGAGTCCCATATCAGGCAGACATGTACAGTATACAGAGCTCCAATAAGACTTCAACGGCGGAATAGGCATAAGAGTTAACCAACACGGGAACCCAAAAACTGCGCCGGCGGATAAAGGCAGTGCAAGATGGACAAGGCTAATAAGGCGAAATCCAACAAACTGGGCAGGGGTCTGGATATACCTTCTTCTGAAAGGGTGAGCCTGCTACGGAGAGAAACTGCATTTATGGCATTGGCTTTGCCATTTGCCAATCCATCCAACATAGACTAACTAAAATGTTTCTTGGGATCAACGAGTGCCTCATGACGTTCTGAGTCCAAATGAATTACTCACTTCGTGAAGTCTTCTTCAGTGCAAACACTGGATGCAGAGGATTACATCAAGGAGGCCTTTAACACCGACCTCGACAGAGTGCTAGCCTCTATCCCCAGAGAAGATAAGGTTGTGCTCCTAGGTGACTTCAATGCAAGAGTTGGCAGGTATGCTGACTTATTGCAGGGAACCATAGGGAGAAATGGAATGAGCAAGTATAATCCCAACGGCCCATTCCTCCTCAGCATGTGTACTGAACACGTCTTCATTATCACCAACATCTTGTTTAGGCAGGCCGAAGAGTTCAAGGGTTCGTGGCAACACCCACGATCTAAACATTAGCTTCTCATTGACTACATTATTGTCAGAGAAAGAGATCACCGAGTTGTTCTCATCACCTGAGCCAAGTGTGAATCAGACTACTATGACACATATCATCGGCTCATCAGAGCCAAACTCTCCCTTCACATTGCCCCAAAACGGCGAAGGCAACAAACCTCCAGAGGAGGTACTAACAACAAGCAACTGGAGGATCAAGCGGTAAAACATGCTTTCAGAGAGCAACTCGACGATGGAATCATAAACAACCCAAAAAACAAACACCCTAAATCCCAGTGCCGAATGAGGTATCCTCAACACGAGGATTGGTTTGAGGACAAGATAAGCGAGTTTTTCAATTCCACTAAAGCAATGTATGGCACAACTACGCATGGCACGGGCCTCTTATCCGACGGTAACTCCATAATTAAAGACAAAGAAGGCATTCGTCAGCGCTGGAAAGAGCATTACCTTTCGCTGCTCAACTGAAACACCGATGTGGATGTTCTGACTACCCAGCAGGTACCTCAGTACGGGCCCACCTCAGCTATCCTCCATCCCGTGATGAGGTAGCTATTGCCATGAAGCAAATGGAAAATAACAAGACCACACGGCCTGATGGAATCCCATCCGAGGTGTATAAAACAGGAGAACCTCTGCTTACAAACCTAGAGAATATATGGGAGAAGGAAGAAATCCATCTTAAAAACGCCTCCATTGTCAATATTTATAGGAGCAGTTAAGACCGGTAAGTTGTCAACTACCACGGGATCTCACTGCTGTCCATAGCTGGTAAGATTATCGCCCATGTCCTCCTAAACAAACCTTTTCCAGAGGCGGGAAACTTCCTCCCAGAATTACAATGTGGGAAGCCCTCTGGCAGACACCCAGTCGTTTTGGTTACCCACCAAAATTCATTGCCTTATGTCAAAGAAGGCACGCTGTCCCCGCGTACAGAATCCTAGATCGCTGACGTCCACAAGGGCTTCGTTGGATGTGTTTGAAGTCCTGTGATGGTTATTCTTACCGTCCACGCAATGGTGAGTAACTCTGAGTGATCGATATCGTACTTCGTAGGATGAGCCAGACACGCATTGGGAAGGCAAACATTTTACTGGCCAACCATACCTCAGAGGAATGGCATCTGTGAATTCTTGTTTATTAAGGCTGAAGCCTTTTGTTCTTATCGGTATAGTTGTTAGCCAGTTTGAGGCGCCCACCTACTGTGCTATAGCTCCCGTTTTTCACGTTCTCTGGCAATTGCAGCATCAGTTGTTGATGTTTATCACTTTGGGTGTGCTGCTGTTTTATCGTAATGGACCGTCGAATCTTGGTGCATTCTGAGCTATTATGTGTTCAGTGAGGGCTGTCGTGAGCTTGGCAGAGTTCTGGAGCTCTGCTTGAGCAAGCTCCTCTGGATTAGTCAATCCCATTCCTCCCAGTCTCGGTGGTAATGCAAGGAGTGACCCTTCTGCTGGAGTTAAATAATGTCCTTTCATTATTGTTGGGATAAAAGAGACCCTGATGGCTTCTTCCAGAGGGCGGAGGAAGGGTCCGATATCAGGGACAGTGCGCATCAGGTAATTCCAGCAATGCTTGACTCCATGGGTGAATGCCGCAAACACCGCATGTGGCTCCGTTTTAGCAATATCAGACAGTGCTTGGATTTCTTTCACCCACTCATTTACCTTTTCCGTTACATACTTGGTCTTGAAGTCCTTCGCGCCGATTACCGCACTTAGGTGTCTTTGGCCCGTTCATAACGTCCTGGCTTCACAATGAGGAAGGACCACGTGATGTTATCAGGTCCCACCACTTTTTGATGTCCTCCACTTTTCCTGCTCCTGTCAGGTCATGAGCATATGCCACTTGCTTGACCTTGGTTGCTTCAAATTCTATTGCATGTTGGAGCAAAGATAGACCTAATGTGTACATTACCATGGCGACTGGGTCCCCTTACGCTGTTCCCTCTTTTGACTCTATGATTGTACCACCTCTTTGGGCCTTGAAGCATGTTATATAAGAGTCTGATGAGTTTATATAGGTGTTTTGAATATACATTGCAAGGCTTGGACACTTGATCTTGATGTTGTACAGTGTGGCCTTGCGGTCGATTATGTTGTATGTGCTGGAAGCGTCAACCAGGAGAATGGCTAACGATTGCGCTGCTCAGATATCTTTCTCATGGCGTGAATAGCAGCTTCACCCCCAGCCTGGTGGTCAGCACATATTTGCAGATTCCCTGCGGCTTCCCTGACATCATCATTAACCACCCCCATTATGCATTTTCCAGTGATCCGTCTCAGTACTTCCCCCACCCCTATAGGCCCACATCCTGGATTTTTATCTAGGTGAATGAGGCGGCAGGCCGTCAGAGCATGTAGCGAGTGGGACCGTTACCACCCTTGACACGCTCGGGTTACAAGCCTTAGCATAGAGAAAACTAGATCTAAAAAAGAAATCCCCTTAACCGGAGACAGAATGCACCTACCTGGCTCATTAAATATGTGACCCAAAGATGGCACTGAAAATGTCCTGTGACTCTCCCGTTAGACAAAATTAATTCAAGCTATGAATCTTGGAGAACCCGAAGGCTGCCACAGACCGCCCACCCGATAGGCAATCAGAGATACTCATGACGTGGCCCAAAGTGACCCCTAAAAGTTATGAGCAATTCTGAGTATCAGGTCACAAGAGTTCAATTAACTCACTCTTGCAGTGTACCGCAGTCTCTGGATTATACAGTGAAGCATCATCCTCACGCAATATCCACAGGCCAGTGACATAGAGTTAAGATTTCATTATAAACGGTAAGAACTGTAATCCCCAGCAGCCCCCGCACCACCAGGTACATTATAGCATTATATGTACGTGACATACATTGCTTAGCTTCAGAAAGTCCAAAGTCTATTACATACTCTGGCTGCTCCAGTCTCTAGCAGCCTTATCATCCTGTATAGCATTATATTAATTAAACATTCACAATGTCAGCTTCCTTAGGTCGAGAGTCACTTATAAACTGGTTGAGTTTTAACCCCTAGTATCCTTGTACTATCCCGTGTTGCATTAAACACATATGACGTACTGTATACATAGAGAAGTTTCATATGGTCGAAACTCAATTGTTAATAGCAGAAAGTCTCCAATAGCCTTCCATTACTTAGTATAACATTATATGCATGTGGTATTCACAGCTTAGGAACATAAAGTCGAACGTTCATAGTACACATCAGTGACTTGAGCCTCTATTGCCCCTCGCACCTCACCTGGCAACACCTGAGCCACACAACGGCAACTTGTCACGTAATCACACCCAGCATTTAGGGCAAGGCCACTCTCTCCTCCCTCTCACAGTACCTTTCTCTTATTCCCATGTTTCACTCCTCCCACCTGTTCTCCCTGTTCTGCCCCATCCTTATCCTCTCTCCTCTATATTACCCTTATCCTCTTTTCCCTTTATTATCCTTATCCTCTGTCAATACTTTCCTCATACTTATAATCCTCTTTTTCCTTCCCTCCTTATTTTTCACCCTCATGAATATGACCTATACTATTATTTCCTTTGTGTATGAGCCTTTGTTCTGCATGGCAGTGAACAGTGATAACAGTCTCGGTGTCAAGACCTGGCAGAGCTACAGTGCTCAGAATAGGCAACTTGTACATCACTTTTTACCAATAAAGTTGTTAAAATAATTAACTATCCTGCTTCCCTACCTTTTCCCATTTTTTTTCACAGCTCCCCTCATTCTTCTCCCCCTCCCATTTCCATTTTCCCCATACCTCTCCATTTTTCCTTCCTTTCTCCCCCTCTCTCTCTCCTCTTTCCTCCCTTGCCCCCCCATCTCCCCTCTTTCCTTCCCTACGCTCCTCTCTCTCTCTCTCTCTCTCTCTCTCTCTCTCTCTCTCTCCTTCTCTCCCTTTTTCCTTTCCTACTCCTTTCTATCTCTCTTCTTTTTCCTTCCTTACTCCCCTTTATCTCTCTCTCCCTTTTCCCTCTCCCCTCTCTCCCTCTCTTTCTCTCTCTCGCTCCTCCTTTTACTTCTCTGCTCCCCTCTCTTTCCGCTTCTTCTTTCCATTTTTTCTTTCAATCCGTTCTTACTCATCCATTTCATAATACCTATGTCCTTGTAATTCATGTAATGTCTCGTAAATTCAGAAAAGTCCTTGGAAATCATGAACAATCCTGGAAATTCATGAAAAGTCTTGGAAATTAATGGAAAGTCCGTGAAATTCATCTAGCTCCCGAAAATTCATGAAAAGTCTTGAAATTTATGAAAAATACTTCTAAAATTCATGAAAATTCCTTGAAATTCACTAAAAAAAACTTCAGTTACGGAAAGTTATTCTAAAAGCTCAATAGAAAGTGTAAAGAGAGTTTGTAATTGAAGAAAGAAAATCACTATAAAATATAAAGTCAGAGGAGAATATTTGAAAGAAGTTGTTATAAAAGTCTCAATCTTGAAAAGTCATTCTGAAAAAAGTAGAATCCTGGTTAATCATTGAATTTAACTAATAATTCCTGAGAGCCATAAAAACCAGAAACATTAAATGAAAGTATAAACCTTGAAACAATAAATATACGGAAAAACAAGACCAGTGTGTAATGTTTTTGACAAATTCACACCCATCAACATCACCAGTTCATCGTTCTTATTCCATCAGCTTATATACAAACGAATCAGCAAAGTGATGCAGGAACTAAATGAATTAAACTGTTTTGGAGTTTACCTTACTTAAGGGATTATTTTATCAAGGGTGACCCATACTAGTGATTGCCTGTGTTTAGCTGCACTGGAAAAAAAAAAAAATATTTGCATGCCCAAAAATCATCACTACATACGCACCAAAATACCCCACATGCACGCAGAACGTCCTCACACTTGCGAGGAACATTCACAAGCACGCAAAATACCCACATACAAGCGCAAAACACCTACACAGGCGATGAAAACATGCCCACACGCGCGTAAAGATCCTCACACGCACTCAAAACATCTTTCATACGAGCAAATCTTACACGCACGCAAAACGTTCAAACACACGCCAAGAACATCCTTGCATACTCAAAAACTTCCTATACGCGCTCAAACTATCCTTCACATGCGCTCCAAAACACCAAAGGTCAGGTCAGGTTAGGGAACACACGCAAATGGTCTGATTAAATTTATGAAGCGAAAAATAAAATGAAAATCTTGCCATGTCATGTGGTCATATTAATAAGCAGGTTGTTGTAGATGTCTTGAAAAGTAAAAGTTGTGAAACTTTATGAGAAGTGTGATTCCCTACGCCCTTCCATGCCTCTTTCCCTCTCTCACTTCCCTTTCCTTCCTTTCACTTCTTTCTTCCGTATCTTCTTTCACTCCCTCCCGTTTTTCTCTCCCCTCTTCATTCCTTCCTTATTCATTTCTTCTTTCCCTCTTTCTTTTCTCTTTTACTCCCTCCTGCTTTACTCTCTCACAAGCGGATGGTGGTGGTGGAGCTGCCACAGCAACAGGCACATCTATCACCGCCCGTCTGTGGCAGCAGTAGCGCCACCACCACCGCCCGCCTGTGGCAGCAGTAGCACCACCACCACCGCCCGCCTGTGGCAGCAGTAGCATCACCACCACCGCCCGCCTGTGGCAGCAGTAGCATCACCACCACCGCCCGCCTGTGGCAGCAGTAGCACCACCACCACCGCCCGCCTGTGGGCAGTAGCACTACCACCATCCGCCTGTGGCAGTAGCATAAGAACATAAGAACATAAGAATGGAGGAAACTGCAGCGGGCCTATTGGCCCATACTGGGCAGTCCCGTTTACACCCAACCCCTATTGCTCATATGAGCATCCAACCTATGTTTGAAGCAATTCAGCGTATTCGAGTTAATGATGATATTTGGTAACTTGTTCCATTCATCCACTACTCTGTTTCCAAACCAGTGTTTACCTATTTCACCCCTAAATCTAAATTTGTCTAATTTAAAACCATTGTTACGAGTTCGCTCCTGGTTGGATAGTTTGAGTACCTTTGTAATGTCCCCTTTGTTTAGCCCTGCCTTCCACTTATACACCTCTATCAGGTCGCCCCTCGCTCTACGTCTCTCAAGGGAGTGCAAATTAAGATGCTTTAACCTGTCTCTATACTCAAGGTTCCTAATGCCCGGGATTAGTCTTGTCATTCTCCTCTGAATTCTTTCCAAGGATTCTATATCCATTCTGTAATACGGTGACCAGAACTGAACTGCGTAATCCAGGTGTGGTCTCACAAGAGCAAGATACAGTTTTAGGATGACCTCGCTAGTCTTGTAACTAACACTCCTTTGTATGAACCCAAGTACTTTATTAGCCTTGTTACGAGCAAAAACACATTGTTTACTTGGCTTAAGGTTCCTACTTATCATTACTCCTAAATCTCTCTCGCAGTCGGATTTCTCTATGGCATCGTTGTTCATCTGGTATCTGGTTTCCCTGTTTACATCTCCTATACTGAGTACTTTACATTTGTCTACATTGAATTTCATCTGCCATTTTTCAGACCATTCGTTTTGATCTTCCTGTAGTGTCCTCGTCAGATTTAATAACACGTCCTATTTTAGTGTCATCAGCAAATTTACTTATGTTGCTGTCTATGCCGATATCTATGTCGTTTATGTATATAATAAATAATAATGGTCCAAGTACTGAGCCTTGGGGAACTCCACTTGTGACGTTGCTCCAATGGGACTTAGTGCCGTTAATGCTCACTCGCTGTTTCCTGTCCTGTAACCATGCCCTAATCCATTTAAGGATGTCACCTTTGATGCCATGAGCTTCTACCTTTCTAATTAGTCTTTCGTGGGGGACTCTGTCGAAGGCTTTGCTAAAGTCGAGATATACCACATCATAATTGTGCCCCTCGTCCACCGATTCGAAAACTGATGAAAAGAATGTTAATAGATTAGTTAGGCAAGAACGTCCGCTTGTGAAGCCATGCTGGGAATCATTGATCAATCTGTGCTTCTCCAGGTGATTTCGAATGATTGCTTCCAGTTTGAAATGATTGCTTCCAGTAATTTGCCTACTATTGATCGGTATTACATTCGCTATCCTCCAGGATTCTGGTACTACACCTGTTTTTAAGGACATGTTAAACAACTTTGCTAAGGGCATACTAAGCTCTTCCTTATATTCCTTTAATACTCTGGCAAATATCTCATCGGGACCAGGTGACTTATTAGGCTTTAGTTTGTCTATTTGCTTACTAACATCATTACTAGTCACTACTATCTCACTTAATTTGTTTTCTTCACTATCTCTGAATAGAGTCGGTGCCTCGGGTATCATGTTTAAATTTTCGGTGGTGAAAACTGTTGAAAAATATTTATTCAAATTATTGCTCATTTCTCCGTCGTTATCAGTGAGCTCGCCGGAGTCTGACCGTATTGGTCCAATCTTTTCTCGTGTTTTAGTTTGATACATTTGGTAGAATCCTTTGGTTTCTCTTCGCCTCCCTGCTATCTTACCTCATTATTCCTCTTCCTTTCCTTATCGGTTTTAACCCCTACTCTTAATACCCTATATGTCCGGAGGTGAATTTCGCCTGATTTATCCTTCTACCTGCTTCCTTTGGCCAATGATGTTCTTTAAGTAATTATTTATCCATTTAGGGTCATTGTTGTTTGATCTGAGTTTTTTGTATGGTATGTTCTGCCTTTGTGCATTAAGTAACTCACTATTTAAATTGTCGTGGAACTCGGCAATCTCAGATCTCGTTATCAGGTCGGTGTCATCTGTCAGGTTCATGGCCAAGCGCGACACCCCCTCTCTCAGCTGCCCCTTTAAACTGTCAAAGTTTGCCCTTCTAAAATCTGGTACTTCAGTGGAATTTTCCTTACGTCTGCCCTGAAAACCTAACTGGAATCGAATTTCTTTGTGATCGCTGTTTGCAAGTTCGTTCCCTACCTCGACATTGCTAATGAGGTTTTCTCTGTTC